CTGCACCTACACCTGCATCTACACCTGCACCTGCATCTACACCTGCACCTACACCTGCATCTGCACCTACACCTGCATCTACATCTGCACCTGCATCTACATCTGCACCTACACCTGCATCTACACCTGCATCTACATCTGCACCTGCACCTACACCTGCACGTGCACCTGCACGTACACCTGCACCTGCCATTCAAAATGTGGGTGGGTGAAAAGGTGAAGCTCCCCTACACCTCCTAAATAGCAGTAGAAGTTGTCTAAGATGACAGTAGATGCATAAAGTAATGTCAAAGTAATAACTACAGATTACACATTATGATTACGGCAAGTTTTATTAAAACATGCCCAATGGTCCACGAGATATTTTGCTGACAGCTCTTCCTTCAGTATTTCCAGGTCACATGTTAAACTGAGCCGTCCTGCAGCGCCTCTCTGTTGGAGCCGTCATGCAAAGTGTCCTGGTTTTTGCTCCGCCTGCAAAGTAAAGCCATAACATGCAGCGTGCAAACTGTGGCACGGAGAGAGCCCAGCAGCAGCTGCACGGTGTCCGCCTCAGGATCAATTCTTCAACGCGTGTCTGAGACGTGCAGAAGACGACGGCGCTCCTCGTGGTTTAAGGGAAGACACTTTTAGTTGTGGGTGGAAGCAGGGTGAGGTGTTCAGGGTGAGGACAGTTCTGAGTCCAGCCTGACGGGTCATCATGACACACGTCCGTGGAAACGCTGCAGGAACACTTGAAGCAGGTTCAACCACCAACAGATGATCGTCATGAGGCCTGACATTTTGGATTTGTATGAATTCATGCCCCTGACCCAAAAAAGAAGAACCTGGTAGAAATAACTGATGAATGCTACTTACCTGTCAAGAATGTCTTGTTCTGCCAAAGCTTGAACACCAAGCTCCAGTGATCAGGGGTTTGATTATTGATTGTGCTCTTAATTGTTCTCAGAGGCAGATTCAGAGATGTCGTCTCGGGGGTGAGGTGGTGTTGATGGGACAGCCGACCTGGGACCAGACGGTTACGGTTCGACTCCCCACCGTGCCCATGTCGTGGTGTCCTTGAGCAAAACACCTAATCCCTACCTGAACAAATGATAAAGCTCAGGAATGTATTTGTCCCTCCTCCATCTCATTCTGTCCTCACTCCAACTACCTCCATGTCCTCTAACTGCATCCATATGTCTCCTCTGTCTTTTTCCTGGCAGCTGCATTTCTAACATCCTTCTACCAATATACCCACTGTCCCTCCTCTGGACATGTCCACACCACTGTCCCTCCTCTGGACATGTCCAAACCATCAGCGTGTCCTCTCTAACTTTATCTCCCAGTTGTCCAACCTGTGCTGTCTTTTTGTCCATGTCTGTCTCCATCCAGCTGGTCTCACCACTGTCTTGTGCTGTTCCTTAGCATTAGTCCACCACGTGCAACAGGAGAACCTGTAGAAGTGTAAAGTTTATCGTAGCGTTCTTTGACAACACTTTTGGGTAAAGTTGTTTTTTATCACGTCATTTATTTTTAATTATTTTACTGAACAGTTTAACTGTGCACGAGAAACGTGCAGTAAAGACTGGAGGATTTTAAACTTTCTCCACCAACTGTCCCTCCTGTCAGTCACAGCTCAAACACAGAACGTGCACAGCTCCTCCTCCAGCACGTCTGTGCACGTTGCAGGACTCCAGCACCTGTGGCTTGGTGCGGCCGACAGGGCCACAAAAACAAACGCCTCAATGCATTTAAGACGAACGCTGCAGTTTGGATCAGTTGTACTCGAGAACAATCTGTTGTGCTCCTCTTTACATAAAATCTGGACCACGTGGTTTCAAACGGCTCGTCCGTCCAAAAATGACACGACTGATGGACAGGAACAACGCCTGCAGATGTCCGTCTATATTGAAACCCAATGATTCTTCAACCTTCAACATACAAGTTACTTTAGCAGCACAAAAACATCTGCCAGAGAAATTCAAGCAACCTTTGAAAAAAAAAAAAAAACACTGCAACACCACTTTGGTGTGCTGCTGATCTCATGCTGCTGCTCAGACTCATGTTCGTGCTGCTGTTGTCCAGCAGTTTTTGTACCATTAGTACTTATTCTTAGTGTATTTATTACTTTTTCTTTAGTTTGTACTTTTGTTGGCTGGAACTGGTCTGTGTCCAGTTGAGTTCCATGGAACAAACCTACTTGAACTCTGAAGATCTGAGCTGTGCTCATTGATCACAAGCGGAGACCGAACCTTCCAGCTGTGGAGCACCAGCTGTTCACCTCTGGAGCTGAGCTCCTCAGACCAACGCTGCCCCCCATCGGTCAAAGACGTGCACGACAGAGCTGGATTTCCAAGAACTGCCTGGAAATGTGGATGCCAGGTATCTGCAGTGTTTGAGAATTTGGGAAACATCTAGACTTGGTTTCCATGGCAACATGAGACGTGTAAACAGGAAAGATCAAAGCAGGACCCTCATCGGTTTGAATCGGTCCAGATGAGCCAGAAACCAAACGAGACCAGATGAAGAATCAAACTAAAGGTTTATTGAAGGAAGCAGAAGATGCAAAGGACAAGAACGATAAGTGTGTGTGTTTACACAGATGTTATAAAAAGTTGTGTTTACAGCTGACTTTATCAAAATATACATGTTCTGAACGTAAAGTGAATCCAAATTATTCTGTGGTTCAAAAACCACTAATATTTACAACCACCGGTGTCATCCAGCCCCACCCTGACCCGTATAAAAAGGAGAAAAATAAAACTTTCAACAGCGTATAATCATCTACGCATTTCATGGCAGCTACGACTGTTGGACTACAGGTCCGCTCTACAAGTTCTGTCACGTGAAACAGTCCAAGTCGTGGCCGAGGCGTCCAAGCTTAGAGTTCCTGTGGAGCAGCACGAAGAATTCAAAAAGTAGAAAAACAGCAGGGGAGGAACACACTTTGGTCACGGAGGCATCACACACACGTGGTCCAGGAGCTGAGGCACTCAGGAATGTGACGAGGGTTAAGACTTGTGTGATGACGTCACCCTGGAGGACTCCACGTGGAGCACAGGTGAAGCAGAACAAGAATCATTCGATTGTAAACACAGAAAAATAAAACAAATGCGGTTTCTTTTTTAATATACCGTCAAAGCCATGACCCCCCCCCCCCCCAAAAAAAAGGGTGTAAAGGCACCTTTGAGGACAGGTAAGACAAACACCTGAGGGGATGTGAGCTGAAGGCACTGCCATGGAACGTCATGTGGATGACGTCATGGCTTCGACACGAGTAAAATCAACGATAAATGAATATATAGTTTATAGATCTGTGGCTACAGCATGTAGAAAACATTAAGCGACACGTGTCTAGATATACAGGAGCATGTAGAAAACTAAGTGACACGTGTGTAGATATACGAGAGCAAAGCTGTAAAAGGAGAAGGCATTGAAAGCTGCTGGTGGGCAGAAGGCATTGAAAGCTGTGCGTCTGTGATTAAACAGGAACGTGGCTGAAGGCAAGGCACAAGACAAACACCTTCTTATAGTGGTATGACCCCCCAGCAGGAAGGGGTGCAGGCGGTCCCTGATCCAAAGCTCAGGTCTTCATTTGTAACCGTTTGACTGGCCGACGAGTCAAGAGGCTTCTCGAAACATCAAGAAGAAAGGAATGATGAAGAGTGGCATGCTGGGAAGTGATTTGGTCAAAGTTCAAAGGTCAGGCCATGAGCTGCCTCCAACACGTTGCTCATTTATCAAAAACATGGAAAACTTTGGTGGGACCCAAGTGAGAAGTGTGTGTGGTGTTGATGTTTGAAGGTGGACGTTGGCAGAGTGTGACGTGGAGCAGCAGCAGCAGCAGCAGCAGCCACAGCTGGAATGTTAACACTTCACTAGTGTCACGTGAAGCACGGGGTCCTTCACAACAAACACAAAGACGATTAGAAGCAACATGGACTGTTTCAAAGAACTAAGGAACCTCATTAAGAACTCGTTCAAGGGACAACACGAGCAACATTCCCCACAAGAGAAATCAAAGAGAGGAAAACAAAGATTTAAACATGAATGAAGCCGTTTCCTCTGAGCGACGCGGCGGGGGGGGGGGGGGGGGGGGGGGCGGGGGGGGGGGGGGGGGGGGGGCACTCAGATGGTGGACTTTGAGAAGGACACTCGAAGGTGATGGTTCTCCCCCAAGTCGTGGTTGTGGAACTCAATGAGGCACTCGATGGCCTCCTCAACGGAGCCCATCTGGATGAGGGCCATCTTCCGGTCCTTTCTGTTAATGCAGAGCATCAAGGGGTGCGTGCCGTTACTTTCTTCATCATCATCATCAAACACATACAGGAAACAGATACACCACAAACTTACTGAAAGAACTTGAAGGCTTTGACTGTGGCTCCTGAACTTACAAACAGCCTCTTCAGATCATCCTCCACCACCGAGGGCCTAACAGAAACACTCGTTACTCCACAGAAGCAGCCTTGCTCAGTAACCGTGACACGGGGGCAGTTCTCAGGACTCACGGGATGTTGGAGAGGTGCAGCGTTGCAGAGGGCGGGAAGATGTTGGAGTAGTTCTTGGAGCCAGGCTTCTTAAAACGATGCAGCGGCGAGCTGCTGAAGTCCTTGGTGAGGCCCTGGTCCTCATGGCCTTCTCTGGGCAGCTGAACCGTTGTGTGTTTGGACAAGGTCACACGCATGGCCCTGCCATGAAGACGCTGGCCGTTCAAGTGGCTCATGGCTGTAAAACACAAAGTCAGATCTTTACACCAGGAGCCATCACAGCTGCAGAAAGAAGAGCTTTGCAGAGAGTGGTGAAGGCTGCACAGAAGATGTTGGAGTCAGTCTCCCCACCATCACAGACATCTACACCTCCACATGCAGGAAGAGGGCCACCTGCATCATGAAGGACCACACTCACCCAGCACACACACTTTTTGCCCCACTCACCTCAGGAAGGAGGTTGAGGAGCATTAAGTGTAGAACCACTAGACTGAGGAACAGCTTCTACCCTGAGGCTGTTAGACTCATGAGTCTCTGAGCAGGAGAATCACTGTGATGCCACTTTGATTGTTGATCTCATGCTGCTGATCATTCCATGCTGCTGTGTTCACTCGTGCTCACAGACTCATGTTCGTGCTGCTGTTCAGCGTATTGTTTTGTACTCGTGGTGCTTGGTGTGTTCTTGGTTGATCTTGGATCTCATCACAGTTTTTCTGTACAAATTAAACATGTAGCTGGGACCCTGTGAAGTTTAGTTCCACATGTGACGAGAATGACAGAAACCTTGACTTAACCTTGAATGCAGCCGAGCATCAGGGTTGCCAGATACATTGAAAATGTTTTAGTTCCCCCCTCCTTCTCTGTGCACATGCTCAGCAAATAGAATATCTTTACTCAGCACACACACGACAGTTTGGGTCAAAGTACTTCGTGCATCATTTTAAAGCCACAGTACTTTATAGCTCATAACGTGTTTGTATTTAGCTGCGTGTGTTGCCAGTTGTTCTGTCTGTACAGCACTTTGGTTGGCCATGTTGCTGTTTTAAGTGCTCTATAAATACAACGGTATGGTAGAACTTCTCATCTGGCAACCCGACTGACATGGAAACTACAGTGTTCACGTTCACCCACTCACTTTTTGTTTATTACCCGCTGAACAATGAAAAAGCTCTGAAGTTTCCAGAGGTGTGACAGCAGGTAGATCACTTTCACTTGGTCACTTGAAAAGGAGCTCCACGATGAAAACATCTGGACCCCCTGCTTCACACTCATCACGTGTTTGTCTTCTTTCACACAGGTTTCATTCTCAGCTCGACACGTTCCTCTGGGCTGCAACATTAGGTGTGTGTGCACAACGTCCCTGCTCGACTCGCAGACACGTTCATCTTCAGGTTTGGAACGTTTTCTTTCAAACGCATCTCCATTTGTCAAGTGTGTGTCCAACCTGGCTCAGGAGCACCTGAGAGACAGGAAACACGCCTCGTCCTCAAGTCCCCACATGGCAACAAGAAACAACCGGCCTACTTGAAGCCATTTTCACATTGTCCACGTGTCCCCGCCAGGGACTGGAGATCTGTCCACGTGTCCTC